AAAACATGTTAAAAACACAACAGCCTTAATAAACAGAGCAGTTTGGACCCAGAAGCAGGGTTAATATGTCATCACTTAAAGACCTGGCCTTGTGGTTTTCTCCCAGCATGCTTTGCTGACCTGCTGCAGCGCCTGGTTCTGCCTCATGTACTCTTCATGCAGCTTCTCCACCAGGTTGTGCACCATGCTGGGCTGCACATGCAGCAGCACGTCCCACCAGTCGTAACCCGTCACCATGCAGTACTCCAGCAGGAACAGCAGGTGACGCAGCGTCGTGTTCATCTCCAGCACCTGGCCCATAGAGGGCGACACACGCAGCATGTGGAGCTGACGAGAGAACAAACAAACAAACAGATTAGAATTAGATTTCAGAATGATTCAAAACGGCAACTGTCCAGATGTCCATCGACTCGTCCTTGGCTCACTCTCTGGAGACCTTATTTGGTTGTTTTGCTTTCAAATTTCTTATTTCACATTTCTCAAAAACCCGATTGAGTTACTTCACACAGAAGTCATGTAGGTTACGGAGATGTCAGGATTCCAGAGAAAACAGTTTCTCTGCTAAATTAATCGATTGATAAGAAACCAATCGATCTGATCTCTGATTGTTAACGTGTGGCGTTTTATTGATCTGGGCTGAACCAGAACCCAGCTGTGTGTCCTCACCTTGCCGTGGTTGTCAACTCCAGCCAGAGCCAATGAGGTCCAGGAGAACTGCAGGGCCTTGAAGTGGACGGTGGGGCCGGCAGTTCTCTGGCGCTTGATGGCCGACTCATCTCCAGGGCGCTGTGCCGAGGAGGCGCCGTAGAACACGCCCATGGTGTGGAGGGAAAGGCGGTGCAGGATCTGGATGCTGCCATCATGAAACGCCAGAGCCAGACCTGAAACCACAATGACATGAGACGGTTACAACAAAGTCCTGCCACCATCTTTAAAGGAAGCCAGATCAACCTTTAACTTCAGGGGTCAGCAGGGTGTCAGACCTGACGGTCCAGAACAAGCATCGCGGTTTAAGATTTGGTAATGGCCCAAAATAAAGTTCACCAGGTAAACGAAACACAGTGACATTACAATTAGGTCACTGTCTGAGGCTCCTCCCACCAGTGCTGTGAGCAAACACTATGCCGTAACAGCCATGCCCACAATGACTGTGATTGGCCCGTTTAGTACTCTGATTTCCTCCTACACATTTCTTCTTCTACCGCCATTTTTTCAAATCAACACGAGAACGATCACCCCGACCACAGAAACTCTGAGCTTGATGAAGGTGCTTCACAGCACGCCTGTACACCTCCCTGAAGAACAACCAGCCATTTCCAGCTCTGAGGCTCACCGAGTCCGGGACAGAACTTCAGTTCAGTGTTGGAGATGGAGATGGGCAGCTTGGGCAGAGCGACAGCCGACACACGCTCCAGGTCGCCGGTGGTCGTCAGGATCCGCCATTTTAGGATGGTCGGCTGCTTCTCTCCCACTGTCAGAAGAGGTCAAATAAAGAAAGTCAGGGCATTAAATACAAAAGGTCAGTGGTCATGAACACACACACAGATTCTTAAAGCCTCTTGTTACTATGCCAACCATTAGCTGGCTGTTACATCACTTCCTGCCTGGTGCTGGGTCTTCTTACCCACTGGCGAACAGTGCTGGAAGATATTATTAACAGGAAGTCCCTCCTTCCTCAGAGACCAGCACTCCACGATGCTGCCGTTCTGATTGGACGCACACAGCAGAACCTGTAAAGCACACACTTTCTCTGAGTTCTGAAGGTCCCGGTGGTCTCGGGTTTAA